CAGTGCCCCACCCAGTGCATGGCGCCTGCCAATAAGTGTAGGGGTGGGGTTAGGGTTGCTGTTGACAGCTTCCAGGCACAAGGACTGCAATGCCACGCACACACAGGTTAATGTGAGAGTCTTTTTCTTCTGGGCCTGTCTTCTCCTATGGAAAGCAGGCTTAATGATCTCATCTCCCAAGACACAACAATTTCATCAATATTACGGTAGTGGCTGTGGGCAAGCGCTGAGTGGATGCCGTTGGAAAACAACAGGGAGAGTCAGAGTCCGGAAGCCCCTGGGCTCCAGGTACACCCAGATTTTGATTGAGGAAGTAATGCCTGTTTGTCGTCTTTTAGTCTCCTGGAGCCAAGGGTTTCTCCTGCTTTCATTTAAAATGGATGTCTGCTTAGTGGGCTAGGAGAGCTGTCCCTGCTCCACAGGGAGATTCAACTTGAAAATTAAAAACAATCTCCTGCACTTGTGAAGGATGGAAGAGTGAACTCTATGTCAGTTTCTCTTTTTTTAAAAAAAAAACCTTTTTATTGTGATTTGGGTGAAAGTTTCCAGAGCAAGAAAGTTTTCCCTTCAACAATTCACACACCTTTTGTTTCACATCATTGATTGCAATCCCCTCCAAGTAACGCCACTCCTCCCACTTCTTGTTTCTCATTTCCATTCCTCCTCTCCTAACCCTTCCTGCCTTCTGAACTGTGTCCCTGGGCAAATGCTGTCCTTTTGATCTCGAATGGTTGATTGTTCTAAGGAGTGTCTACTTTCCTGGAGTTATTGTTCACCTTGTAGACCTGTCTATAGTTTGACTGAAAATTGAGGAACAGGAGTCAATTCAGTTCCAGGTCCGAAGGGTGACCAAGGGCTATAGTCTTGGGGTCAGATTCTCTTTAAATATTGCTTTGTCACAGCCTCTTTTCCTCTGCTGGCCTCTAAAGAGTTGGCAGTCCCTATACTGGTCTTTGACATTCAGAAGCATGGTAATAAGTTTCTGATCTCTCTTCTTACTGTCTCCCCTCCTCCAAATTGTCACCCATTGCCTGGATGATTTTTCTAAAACAAAGTTCTGATCATCTGTCTCAGAAATCTTTTGTTCCCAAGTGCCTACAGGATAAAGTCCAAATTGCTTAGTTAGGAATCACAAAGTGCCTCAGTTTGCCTTTTCAGCTTTAGATCTCACCTCAGCACAAGTTAAATCATGCGATTTGTATCAATTAGGGTTAAGTTCAATTAAATTGCAAATTATTGGGGTTTAAATGAGATAGAGGAGCCCTGGTGGCACAGTGGTTAAGTGCTAGGCTGCTAACTGGAGGGGTGGCAGTTTGGCCTCACCAGCTGCTCCATAGGAAAGATTCTGTAAAGATTTACAGCCTTAAAAACACTGTGGGTCAGTTCTACTCTGTTTTTTATAGGGTTGCTGCGTTGGAACTGACTTGACAGCAATGTTTTTTTTTTTTCCGGTTAAGTGCTCCGCTGCTAAGTGAATGGTTAGCAAATTGAACCCACGCACAGGCTCCCTGGGAGAAAGATTCTGCAGCCTATAAAGCTCTGTGGGGTAGTTCTGTCACATGGGGTCGCTATGAGTTGGAATCGACTGGACAGCACGTAACAACGAAACCAAAATAAAAGCTTTTTTCTCATGTGAAAGAAAATCTGGGTGGGTAGTCAGGGGTCTCTGGGATGCCAGACTCCTTTGATCTTCTTTCCCATCCTTAACGGGGTTCTTCTAGGGCAAACGCGAGGAACTATGTCTGCATCCCATAGAGGACGAAGACGAAGGGAAAGAAGAAGGCACACGATGTGTGCCAGCTAAATTTTAAAGAGGTTCTTAAGAAACCAACATCTAACACCTCTGCTTCCATGCCATAGGTCAGAACTTGTTAGCTGCAAGAGAGGCTGGGAAATGTAGGGTCTATGCCTGTCTGTATTCACCTGGCTAAAAGCTGTGTTTCACTTCTATAGGACAGAGTGAATATTTGGGAAAAATTAGACGTTTCTGACATAAATGTCATGCTTCTGTAACATTTTTCTATGACTCCTATGACTTTGCTTAATGCAGTCCCTTAGTCTGTAATGCTCCTTTCCCTTCCCTGCCTGAGAAAATGTAATCTTTTAAAGACCAACTCAAAATCACCCCAAGACCCTTACCAAGCTGATTCCAACTCATGGTGACCCCATGTGTGTCAGAGCAGATGTGTGCCCATAGGGTTTCCGGTGACTAATTTTTTGGAGATTTTCAGGCCTTTCTTCTGAGGTGCTTCTGGATGGACTAGAAGGTTCAGCCTTGCAGTTACCAGCGGAGCATGCTAACTGACCACCCAGGGATTCCTCCACACCCCTAAGAGCACAATAACTTTTCACTGCTCTCAGCAGCCGCTCTGTGAGCTCTCTAACCATGATGCAATGAACTGTTAGTATTCTTTTGGAAGGGCCTGCCTGCTCCCTTACCATGACCACAGGCTCATCATGCTCCCTCCTTCTGTCCTTGGGTACCCCATGAAGCACCCAATCTTAACTGTCACCCCTATGGCCTTTGGGCAGAATACCTCTTCCTCCCAGACTCTCTCATACTGACCATCTGTACAACTCATGGGTGCTCTGGTGGCGTAGTGCCTAAGGCATCTGACTGCTAACCAGAAGGCTAGTGGTTCAAACCCACCAGCCACTCCTCAGAAGGTTGGGCAATCTATTTCTGTAGATAGAACGCCTTGGAAACCCAAGGAGGAGGTCACTATGAGTCAGGATCAACTCCACAGCAGTGAGTGTGGTTTTGTTTTGGCACAACTCATCTGTCTCACTAATCTAGGTTGTTGTTGTTGTTGTTATGTGCTGTCGAGTTGGATCCGACTCATAGTGACCCCTCCTTGCGTTTCTGAGGCAGTATCACTACGGATGTAGATTGCCCAAACTTCCTTCTGAGGAGTGGCTGGTGGGTTTGAACCGCTAGCCTTCTGGTTAGCAGTCAAATGCCTTAGGCACTGTGCTACCAGAGCTCCTTACTAACCTAGAGGATGGGGTAAAGGTGTAGGAGGGGAAACTGGGGCTGATCCTGAGCCCAGGGAGCGAGGTGGTGAATTTCACAATCACCTGGGCTGATGCAGAGTTCTTTTCTTCAGAGGACACACAAGGTAAATGATTATACTCAGAGCTTGTGTACACATTTGCATGCAATGGAATGCCTTCAAAGCCAGTTTTCCCATGTCATTCTGCTGTTTAAAATCCTTCAGTGACTCCCCAGTGCTGCAGGGTGAAGTCTTGACTCCATGGCTGCAATCTGCCCCCACCCCCTCCAATCTCAATTCTCACACTCTCCACAGGCTGTCAGAACTTCATACTCTCACATGTGCTGTCGGCTTTCCTCGGAACACCTTTTCCTCATCAGCTTTCAAGATGTGCTATGGATACTTCCTCCAGGAAGCCTTCCTTGATAACAGCAGGCAGAGCTGGGCCCCCTCTGCTGTCTCCTCATGGCCCTTTAAACAGCCCTGCATCAGCAGCCTCACTGTTACACTGGAATCTTCTGTCTCCCTCACTAGACTAAGCAACTTGAGAGCCTGCACCACATTTTTATTGGTATCCCAGCTCTAGGTACGTGAGGTAAATACTCCGTGAATGAAGCTCTTGAGTTATGTGTGCAGAGGGCCAGGCACCAAGGGGGAGGAGCATCCCACAGTCTGTTCTCCACTGTGAGTACGTAGATCAAGAAGCAAACGTGATAAAGTCACATCGTGGCAGTCATCTCTGCCTGTAGAAAGTCCACTCTTTTTTCAGAGCCCAGTGCAAACTTCACCTCAAAGTTTTCCCCAAGCCCAGGATGACCTTAGTTATGCTCTCATAGCACTTCACACACTCGTCTTTATAGCACTAACCACTGTGGTAATTGTTGTTAGGTGCCATCAAGTTGGCTTGGACTCAGAGTGACCCTACGCACAACAGAACAAAACACTGCCCGGTCCTGTGCCAGCTTCACAATCCTTACTGTACCTGAGCCCATCGTTGCCGCTACTGTGTCACTCCATCTCGTTGAGGGCCTCCCCCTTTTTCACTGACTCTCCACTTTACCAAGCATGATATCCTTCTCCAGGGAATGGTCCCTTCTGAAAACATGACCAAAGTGAGAGAGAAGTCTGGCCATTCTTGCTTCCAGGGAACATTCCTGCTGCACTTCTTCCAGGACAGACTTGTTCATTCTGTGGTAATTACTGCGGGCTTCTTTGTTTAGTGCTGGGTTTCTCAGAAGTGGCACTATGAACATTTTAGGCCTGATAATTCTCTATAGTAGGGGGCTGGTAGGATGTTTATTTAGCAGCATCCTAACCTGTACCTGGAAGCTCCAGTGGCGTAGTGCCTAAGGCGTTTGCTTACTAGAAGGTTGGCGGTTCGAACCCACTAGCCACTTCTTGGAAGGAAGGTTGGGCAATCTACTTCTGTAGTGATACTGCCTGGGAACCCCAAGGAGGGGTCGCTATGAGTCAGATCCAACTTGACGGCAGTGGGTTTTGGGTTTTTTTAACCTCTACCCACTAGATGCTGATAGCATCCCTTGTTATGACAACCAAAAATGTCTCCAGGTATTGACAGATGTGCCCTGGGGTAACACTGCCTCCAGTTGAGAACCACTGGTATAAGAATGGTAGCTGCATGAGGGTGGTCTGGGCACCTGACACCCTGCATCCTTGCTTTTCTGGGTCTGAATGGCCTCAGCCTGGCATCCTTGGGGCTGGTTCTTCCCCTGCCCCAGACTGGGCTGCAAACCCCCTGCAAAGTGAGTCAAACCTTCCTGTTCACAAGATTCTTCTCTGTAGTCTGGACAGCTTGCAGGTGGAGATCATCGTCTTACTGGCATCTGGAGCTGCCCAGGCCCTGCTTTCAGGTGGTCTGGAAATGATTACAGTGGGAACAAATGAAGGAAAAGCAAGGAAGAAGCCTTTTAGGGCTGAGAGATGGCAGGTGTACAGTGATCCTGACAGGGATGCTACTTCTTTTTCTTTTTCCTTTTCCTTTTTTTTAGGAAGTTCAGGCTTTATTAGGTATACTGTGGCTGGCCTGGGCTGAGGCTGGCCTTGGCAGAGCTCTGCCAGGTTTCACAATCCTCCTAGTAAGCAGTAACAGTGAGGAGAGGAGTGGCCTGGGGCAGGCTGGGGGCACTGAGTGAGGGGTCTGAAACTAGTCCTTCTGATCATCTCTGGTCCCACTGCACTCTTCCAAGATCATCACATGGTGAGAATCTGCTTTGAAGACACAAAGGGCTTCGTGGAAGCTTCCAAGGCACGTTGGTAGTCCTGCAGTGGCACTTCGGAGCAGGCAGGGGCTGTGAGCTGGCCTCGGCGGATGAAGTCACACAGTGTGAGGATTAACTCCTTGAACTGGTCTGTAGGAGGATGGAGGAAGTCAGACAGGGAACATGAGCTAGGGCTCAGGGAGATGGCATTGGGCTGCTCTGGGGCAAGAGCTGGGACTGAGGCTCCAGTAGAGTTCCGAGAGCCCTGTTTTGCCAGGGGGGTGTGGAAGCACCAGGACTGGAGCAGGGGAACATGGCGGAACAGCTCCAGGAGCTGCTAGGCCAGTGGAGACTGCCCTTCAGAGCGGCTGAGATGGCAGAAGTCCTGAATAATGGGAGGGGCAGGATCACTGGGAGGCAGGGACACCAAAAGAGGCATAGGGAGGGTGGGTGTGCCTGACACACCAACTAATGTAGGACAAACGGGCTCTGCCCAGGGAAAGGATCCCTCCGAAGCCCAGGAGCGGAGGCCACCAACATCTTCCTCTTGAGTCTGTTTCCTACTAAGGACCCAATATGGTACAGGAATTTGAGAAATAAAGGCTTAGAAGTATTTCTTTTACAAACACAAATTAATATTCAAATCTAATTCTGTCAATCATCCTTTGCTTAAAACCCTTCAGCAGCTCTCCAACTGCCTTTAAGATAGAATCTGTACTCCTTAAAAAGGCTTCTGAGGCCTTTTGTGATCTTGATCTGGCCACAGTCCAGCTGTCCGGCATCCCACCTGCTGCTCAGACCTAATGCCCCAGTGGCTCTGGCACTTTCAGTGCCCCATGGAGTCACACTCTGGTGGACTTTTGCACATGCTTATTTTTCCTGCCTGAAACACTCCATCCATGTCACCACTTTCCTCCCCTTCACTTGGCTAACACCAGGCCATTCTTCAGTCTTAGTCTGGGAGGCAGAACTATGTACTGGCTCAGGTCTGGAGCCAGAAAGACTGACTGTTCAGATCCTGTGCACTACTCCCTAGGTGGAGTGACTCTGGGAAAGCTACTTAGCCACTTGGACTCTCAAGTTTTCTCCTCTGTTAAACAAGACTAGTAATAGTTTAAATTATTATGACATTTAAACTGAGGCAGATATAACTTGCCCAAAGTTCCACAGATAGGCTAGGCAGAGCCTATAACCAGGAATGGTGGAAGCAGGATTTGAACCCAGCAAGGCTAGCTCCAGGGTTGTTCTCTTTACTTGGCTATCTTACACGGCAGCCTTTCCCACTGTCAGCTCGTCAGGATGGGGGTAGGGTCAGTCCTGTTCAACACTGTGCACCCAAAGACTAGCCCAGTTTAGACTCATACTTGCTGTGACTGGAGGCTATTTTCTTCAATCCTGCTGTGGGATTAGGGGCTCAAGCTCCTCTCTAGGGCTCAGAGTGGCTGGTCACTTCTGCAGCCATTCTAGGCACTGCACTCTCCTGTTAACCTTGGCACTGGGGCCATCATCCACTCACCTGGACTGTGGTCCTTCTTCCACTGGGACAACCAAAAGCCCCGAAGTTTGAGATCCTTAAAAATGAGCAGGCTCTGTAGACACAGGGAGGGCATGCTGAGGCTCACAGTGCAAGGACTTCGGGTTCTGATGAGGGGTACAGATCCCACCCAACCCCAGGGACAGGGACAGGGCCTGAGTTTAGACAACTGTGGTGTCAGTGGAAAAGCCTGGCTGAGCTGCCGAGACCTGTCTCCAGGCATGCCTCCCCCATAAGCTTACCACAGAGGCTATGACAGGCTGCTTGGCCATCCCCCCATAGGTCACCATGGTTCCTCCAGGCCTAAAGAGTCCAGAGAGAACAGTGAATGTAGGCAGCGAAAAAGCCTATCTGGAACCTGCCACAGTGCTTATACAACCTTGCTCTCACGAGTCCCTGGTGTGGTAGTTAGGGTTGTGTGTCTACTTGGCTGGCCCTGGTTTTGATGGCTGGGTAGCTGGATGTAGTTATTCCCCATGATGAGACTGGTAATCAGCTCCATGGTGGAATCTATTGTGAGCAGCTGAGTAGCTACCTTAGGGATGTGGTCTGCTTCCAGTATATAAGATGATGCTTTGAGAACGGTCTTGAGCTTCTTGGCACATTTGGAGCCTATATTTGGCCAAGTCATCAGTGAGTGGCCTGCCATGTTGCTTGATAATCTTGGGACTGTGCCATTTTATTGATCTTGGGTTTGTCAGACTCAGCAGCCAGCATTAGCCTGAGTTAAGAGATGCCTCCAGCTCCAGTGGGGTGGGAGCAAGAGGCAGAGCTGAAGCCCAGAGTTGACGGGCCTTCACCAAGCCCCTAGAGCTGGCACTTTGAACTTAAGACTTCTAACCTCCTAAACTGTAAGAGAATGAATCCCTGTTTGTTTAAAGTCATCCACTTGTGGTATTTTCTGTTAGAGTAGCACTAGATAATCAAAACACCTGAGAAGGTTTTGAAAAAACACAGATTCCTAACTATGACCCTGGACCTAATGAATCAGGAATCTATTCATTAAAGACAACAAACAATTATGAAAAAAACGAAAACAAAACCAAAAAAACACCCTGAGATGAGTTGGATGGTCAACCAGGTTTGGGAACCCACTTATCTGATCTCCCCAGTCAAGCTGCATGGATGTGAGCTGGGCTGAGACAAGTTCAAGACCCATGCTCACTCCTGGCCCTGCTCCCCCTTACAGGTATGTGACGTTGGGCAGTGCACTGGAAATGGCCCAGGCCTTTGTCTTTTCATCTGGAAGCACTTATTCTAAGTATCAGTGATGGACAGGTCACGTCACAGATAAAGGACAGTGTGGATGGGGGGAAGACAGTGATAACTGTCCTCTCATTGCAAGGTGCCTTGTCTGTACCTGTATCTGATACCCACACACCCACCTCAGCAGACAAACAGGAGTGATGCTAATATAGTTTTTAAAAGCTAATAAGCTAGGCCTTTACATGCTGGACTGGACTTAGGTTCCCCTCCCCATTCCCTGGTTCTTTTAGAAGTTTGTTTGGGACGACACAAGAGAGACTTTGTAAACTACAAAATGGAAGAAGCTCTTGTGTGTGGCATATAATGGTAATTCTTTGTCCCTAAGGCTGGTGGGTAGTTTGGACTTAAGTTCCCTCTCAATTGCCACCCACTCTAGAAAGTAGCTCCTGGGGGAAGCAAGCCCTCTCTCTCCTGGGTTCCCACTGTGCGTGGTCTAATCGGAATATTCACCACCACCGTCAGCTGTCATTCTGACTCATGGTGACCTTGTGTGTGTCAGAGGAGAACTGTGCTCCATAGGGTTTCAATGGCTGATCTTTCATAAGGACATCATCAGGCCTTTCCTCCCAGGCATCTCTGGGTGGACTCAACACCAACCTTTGCTAACCTTTACTGAGTGTTTACTATGTGCCAGGCACAGCTCTGGGCACTTCACTATAACTCTGTGGTGGTTATGTTTGTGTGTCAGCTTGGCTGGGCCTGGTTGAGTGGCTGGGCAGCTGGTGGTAGTTATTCCCCAGGATGAGACTGGCAATCAACTCCATGGTGGGATCTACCCACAAGCAGCTGAGAGCTGCCTTTGGGATGTGGTCTGCTTCCTGTATATAAGGAGAAGCCTTGGGAATGGTCTCTAGTCTATGGCATGCTTGGACCCTGCATGTAGCCATGTCATTGCTCAGCAGCCTGCTATGCTCTGCTGACCTTGGGACTTACAATGGACTTAAGTTAATGGCCTGCTGTGTGGTTTGGTAACATTGGGACTGTGCCTTTTTACTTGTAAACCTTGGGGCTTCTCAGCCTCAGCAGCCAGCAGCTGTCTGAGTGAAGAAATGCCTCAAGCTCTAGTGGGCCGGGAGCCGGAGGCAGAGCTGGACCTCAGGGTTGAGGGGCTTTCACCCAGCCCCTAGAGCCTGCCACTTCGAATTTGGACTTAAAGCTTCCAAATTGTAAGAATAAACTCCTGTTTGTTAAAGCCATCCCATTTGTGGTATACTCTTGTCAGAGCGGCATTAGGTAACCAGAACAAACTCCAAGAAAGTGCTATTACTTTCCTCATTTTGCAGATGAGGTCCATCACTCACTTGTATAGCTATTTGAGCATCACCGTAGTGAGCTTTAAACTAACTTCCTGAGGCAGAAGAGCTTATATCATTCCCAGTTTACAGATGAAGAGATCAAGGCCTGGACCATCTTTCATGTATTGCCTAACTTTTCATAGGTTTTCAGCTAGTAAATAGTAGAGTTAGGACTTGAACTTGACCAGTCTCACTCCCAGGCCCACACCTATAACCACTACATGGTGGGGCTTCCTGCAACAACAGCTTTGGAGGCTGTCCAGTGTGGGTGTGAAGGAGTGTGTTCTACAGTCACGCTAACTTGGGATCCACCCAGAGGTTCTGCTTCCTAGCTCTAGGACCATGGGCAAGAAAATCACTCTCTTTGGCTCTTAATTCAATTTGTATGAGCAAATAATCTAAAAAGCTGGATTATATGAACAAGAATGTGGCATCAGGATTGGAAAAGACTCATTAACATCCTGAGATATGCAGATGACACAACTTTGCTTGTGAGAGTGAGGATGACTTGAAGCACTTACTGGTGAAGATTAAAGACTACAGTCCACAGAATGATTACATCTCAATATAAAGAAAAGTGAAAATCCTCACAACTAGTCCAATAAACAGCTTCATGATGGATGGAGAAAAGACTGAAGTCATCAAGGACTTCACATTACTTGGTTCTACAATCAACACCAATGGAAGCAGTTAAGACATCAGACAACATATTGAATTGGGCAAATCTGCTGCAAAAGAACCCTTTCAAGTGCTGAAGAGCAAAGATGTCTCCTTGAAGACTAAACTGCACCTAACCCAAGCCATGGTATTTTCTATTGCCTCTTATGCATGTAAGAGCTAGACAACGAATAAGGAATACTGAAGAAGAGTTGATGCTTTTGAGTTGTGGTGTTGGAGATGAATGCTAAAAGTACCATGGGCTGCTAAAAGGACTAACAGATCTGTCCTGGAAGAAGTGCAGTTGGAATGCTCCTTGGAAGCAAGAATGACCAGCCTTCGTCTCACTTAATTTGGTCTGTCAGAAGGGACCATTCCCTGGAGAAGGATATCAGGCTTGGTAAAGTGGAGGGTCAACGAAGAAGGGGAAGGTCCTCAATGAGATGGATTGACAATAGTGGCTACAATGATGGACTCAGGTATAGCAAGGATTGAGAGGCAGGCACAGGCCCGGGCAATGTTTTGTGCTGCTGTGTGTAGGGGTGCTGTGAGTTGGAGATGACTTGATGGCACCTAACAACAACAACAACAAAATGAGGATCAGAATAGTATCCTCACCTAGGTGCTCAGGGGAGGGTAAGCCAAACAATTTGCAGAGAGTTTGGCACAAAGTAAATAGTCAGTGATTACTGTCACATATCTGTGGCCACATGACTCATGTTCCCATCTGTCCTGTGAGTTCTCAGAGGGTTACTTGTTGAGTAGACTCCTGTTTTAGTTACTGTTGTGGACTGGAATATATTCCCCCAAAAGATACAAGTTCTAATCCTTGAAACCTGTGAATGTAACCTTATTTGGAAACAGGGTCTTAGCAGATATAATTAAGGATCTTGAGATGAGGTCATCCTGGATTTAGGGTGGGCTTAAAGGACCAGTGTCCTTATAAGAGACAGGGAGATTCGAGATACAGAGAAGAAGTTGTGCAGTTGTGAAGATGGAGGCAGAGATTGGAGTGGTGTGTCTCCAAGCCCAGAAATGCCATAGGTCGCTCGCAGCTCCCAGAAGCTAGGAGAGAGTCATGGAACAGACTCTCTTCTCCCTCAGAGCTTCCAGAAGGAATCAACCCTGTCAACACTTTGATTTTGGACTACTGGCATTGAGAACTGTGAAAGAATGAATTTGTTGTTTTAAGCCACCAAGTTCATGGTGATTTCTTTTGGCAGCCCTAGGAAACTGAAAAGGGAAAGAAAGATGGGAAGGACATGCAACACATTGCTAACAGTGCTTATCTTGCTTGGTGGTGGAATAGGTTACTTCTGTATCTTAATTTTTCATCTGTTTTTTTTATATGCTTTCAAAATGTTTTGTAATAAGCATAATGTTCCTTCTAAAATGAGAATCTACTTGTTTAATGCTAATAAAAAATTTAAAAGCTAGTAAGCTAAAACTGAGTGACTTTTTAAATGCCCTAGGCTATGAATCCTTGACTACCCCTGTCACAGAAAGCTTAGTAGTCTGCTTTCTGGGTTCCCCTGGAATAGGCCTCTTGGTCATTTTACAAAAGAGGAGGTTGAGAGAGGAAGTGCCCAGATTGCTACCAACTGTCTTTGGTCCCAGATTCCTGCTCAACATTGTGCTGACCTGGCCTTGCCTTGCATGGCCATTGGGACTTGGTCACTTGATGGTCCTCCCAGCTAAAGGCCTGGAGAGCTCCAGTGAACTGGACTTAGAGGGCTGAGGGACTTACGCTAACTGTCGCAGCAACTCTGTGGAGCTTTTCCCACCAACACAGTTGAGAGCGAGCCGTGGTTGGGGAATGGCCTGCAAAATAAGGAACCTTCAGTGAGGGAGCTATCACTTTCCATGTAGGGCCCCAAACCTGCTACAACCAGCACTTCCCTGGCCCAAGAGCTGTGTCAGAAGGAGGGAGGAAAGAAGATGTTCATGCCTTTGAATTCTTTTTTCTCTGCCCAGGAAGGGTCTTCTCTTTGCCAATTTAATCCTGTTGTACGTTCAGGACTAGGTTCAGAATTTGAACTCATTTTCCCAGGAAAACAGACAAAGGGCCTCTACATTCGGTTTCGACTGACTTCACCCTCCTGAATACTCCTCAGTACTTAGAATTCAGTTTACATTGGATGTGCTAATCTACTGCTCCAAAAATGTTGTCAAGAGGTGTGTCAAATGACTGTGTATAAGTTTGGTCTCCCCAAGAGACTGAGCTAGAGGTCCCCCTAAAGTTTGTTCACTGACTAGGCATGTGCTGAGTGGTTGATGTCCTGGAATGTTAATGGGATTTGGATTCAGAGACTTGAGTCCAGACCTGACTCCACTACTTACTTAATGTGGTCTTGGTCAAGTTCTTTACTTTTGAGTCTTGGTATAGATGATGCCTACTTTGTAGAGGTACTGTGGGGATTACCAGATGAAATGTAAAGTAGGTGCTTAGGCAATATTACTTCTTTTCTTTCTCTTCCCTTTCTACGCCTTAGTTTCTTTAGGCCCTCTCCCAGCTCTGATTCACACCAGCTGTGTGAGCTGATGTGGCCCACCATAAATATTCAAAACTGCAAATCACATAGGGTTTCCTGAACTTTTTCTGTGTCGCCTGTCTCCCTCATTGCATCCCCACTGGGCATTTAATACATACTGTCCCCTGACTCAGGGGAATGGACCTTCTCCTCCTAAGAAGAGACAAAGGGAGTTTCCTGGAGAGGAACAATGAGGCCAGGCCCCAGCTTTTCTAATTTAAGTCAACTTTCTTCAGGGAGGTAAGCATGGAACAGAGAGGTGCAGTATCTCTCATCCCAGGTACCTTAAAGATGTTTTTCATCTCAGGCTTTCTTAGTTCTTCCTCTGTGACGACATGCTCAGCTCCCAGATTCTTCAGACTGTCCTTCAGCTTCTGGATGTCGGGTCTGGAAACCAAACACAATCCAAGGTCCTTGGTCACATCTGTCTGTTTTCTCTACCAAAGGCTCCTAGGACCCCTTTGCTACTTTCTGAGAGCTCCAGTTTCCCTTTGCAGGAAACCGGGATTGGGTTTAAACCAGGCCCCAAACAAGGGCTGGCCACCTAATTTCATCCGACTCCAACATCTTTCAGCCTCAGTTTCCCTACTGGTATGAAATAAGCTAGACTGGGTGATTTCTACAACCCTGCTAGCCCAAGGATGCTAGAGACCATCTGTGCCTGGGAACATTCCATTTCACTTTCTGATTGCTTCTACTGAGGTGACAAGCTCCACCTCCTTTCATCACCTCTCTTTTCAAGGGGCTCTTTTCAGAATGTTGTGCACACATACTCCAGCCCCGGAGTGGCCCTAGGCAAACAATAATTTTTGTTAGCACAATTGCGAGGATTAGAGGTCCTGAAACAGGTACCGATTCCCCTGCTGAGGCTGGATTTCATGACAGCCATGGTCACGCTTGGCCACAGTGCAGATGAAGGGAACTGGATAATACGATGGGAAGAGAACAAGTCAGGAAACTCAGTCTGTTATGCACTTGCTGTGCCTCCCTGAGCAAGTTGCTTCCCCTCTCTGAAGCTTCAGTTTCCTCATCAGCAAAACTGAAAGGATAAACCTGCCCCATCTCCTTCACATCTATATTTAGTACACGTCAGAGCCTTGGAGTAAACGGTTTACAGAAAGAATTGTTGTTGTTGTTGTTATGTGCCATTGAGTTGGACCCGCCTCATAGCGATCCCTGCTTGGGTTTCCAAGGCAGTATCACTACGGAAGTAGATTGCCCCATCTTCCTTCCGAGGAGTGGCTGGTGGGTTTGAACCGCCAGCCTTCTGGTTAGAAGTCAAGTGCCTTAGGCACTATGTTACCAGAGTTCCTACAGAAAGAATAATATACTATAAAACATTACCCAATCTGAACTGTGGATTTGAAAACATGGGGTTATCCCAAGTCCAGAATCTCAAAGACTCTTAGCTGTTAAGGACAGTCTCCACTTCCTTTCTGCCCTTCTTTTACATTTCAAAAATTCACTCATCCTATAGCCAAAAACCACCTAAACTGCATTTCTGGTGGCTGGCTCATCTGTCTCAGGAACCAACTGTCAGCCAGCAGCTTTGGAACCATAAAGATGGGCTGCTTGTGCAAGGGTGCCATCTGGTGGAAATTTAGGCACCTGCAGGGCTGTGACAAGGAGCTCTGATGGTGCAGTTAAATAAAGCATTTTGGCTGTAAACCAAGAGGTGTGCAGTTCAAACACCAGCCTCTGTGTGGGAGAAAGATGATGCAGTCTGCTTTTATAAAGATTTACAGCCTTGAAAACCCTATGGGAGCAGTTCTTTGCCCTATAGGGTCTCTATGAGTTGGAACAGACTTGACAAAGGTGGGTTTGGTTTTTTGGTTTAGGGCTGTAACTGAAAAGAGGAAGCCAAAGGATTGGTACTTTTCATACCCGCCAGGTGATCCAGAAAGAGGCTTCCCCACACACCTGTCTCTGACCACATTGATGGTCCTCAGGCCCAGGGCTGCGGCGATCTGGATGACTGCTTGCCCCACTCCACTGTTGGACGCATTTTGGATGACAGAGTCCCCTGTGGAGCCAGGAAGAGATTCAAGTCAAGCCTTGGAGACCCAAAACACGTCAAGGGCTCTGAGCCTAGGATCCTGTTATAGGGCAAGAGGTAGCTCCACGGGCTCAAAAGGGACCCAGGACCTGGCTGCAGAGTCTTCTGAGACCTTGGACTGTTGTTCACCTTCCCCCCCAATGCTCCCAAATTTCCACAACACCCATGATGCCTGCCAGGACTAGGCAACTTGGTCCAAACCAGACATAATTTAGATCCTCTTGTACAAATGGTTTTATATCCATCATCCTCTCAACTTTTATGTCCTCAAGTCTCTGCTTAGTTTATTTCCTTGGTTTGCAAAGTTTTTTCTCTTTCTTCCTCTTGAAATCCTATGAGTCCTTTGAAATGAAGCTCAAGTACAGCTTCTTTCATCCAGCCTTCCTGGGTTTTCCCCCTCTGCATGCTCCCACAGCACCCAGATGCACCTCCATGAATGCACACACCTCCGTATGCCTCGTCTTATACTTGGCTATATATAGCTCCATTGCTATCAGTAGTTTGCGGTTTCGTGAGGGGAAGGGCCATATCTTCTTCAGTCTGTACTGCTTAATAAAGGTGCACTGCCTTGAAAGGAGATGAGAACCGTACTGGAGAAACTAGCAGCTCCAGAAACTGCCCAACAGACAGGATGTCGTCAAAGCCCAGGCCTGGCTTTGGAATCAGCCAATGGGGAAGGCACATGCTGGGAAGGTGTGGGCTCTGGAACGACATGGACCTGGGTGTGAGTCCTAGCTTCACCACTTCTTGTAACTGAATGAGATGGCACAATTCATGACCTTTTTGAATCTCAGTTTCCTCCCTGTAAAATGGGAGTCCTAGGAGCACCAATAAGGGCTGTAATTAGGGTCGAATGCCATTGTGTCCAGTAAGTGCTTTGTAAAATGCTGTCTGGTTTTTGAGAGGGAGCGGGGATCTGATGAACACGGACTGGAACTAGAAACAGAGGACTTCTTGGAAGGAGAAAACCCATTCTCTTTAGCCAGGGGACAGTGTGCAGGCTATAACGAATGAGTCACTATGAAATCAATCTAGGAGGTTGCAAACAGTTTTTTTTTAAAAACTAAAATCAAGACTAGAATTAAAAAAAAGAACAGTGTAATACACATAAAACTAAAAAAAACCAAACTCACTGCTGTCAAGTTGGTACCAACTTACAGAGACCCCTCCTTGGGTTTCTGAGGTGGTATCACTACAGAAATAGATTGCTTAACCTTCCTTCCGAGGAGTGGCTGGTGGGTTTGAATCACCAGCCTTCTGGTTAGCAGTCTAATGTCTTAGGCACTACGCCACCAGAGCTCTTGCTTTACACATAGTAAGTATAAATATTATTCCTTGAAATTTTGGTTACATTCATATATAGTCAGCCCTCCATATCTGTGGGTTCTGCCTCCATGGATTCAACCAGCCACAGATTAAAAATATTCAGGGGGAAAAAAAAGAGCAATTAAGCGGTCAAAGCAATCCCTCAAAGGCTAAGGAGTATAAAGTGCTATTTAGATAGCATTTTCATTTTGCATTAGGTATTATAAGTAATCCAGAGGTGATTTAAAGCATGTGAGAGGATGTGTGTAGGTTATATGCAAATACTACGCCATTACATGTAAGGGATTTTAGCATCCACAGATTTTGGTATCCGTAGGGGGTCCAGGAACAAAACCCCCTTGGATACTGAGGGACAACTATGCACACTGTGTTGCACTGTAAAATGTATTTTTACTATGGGTCAAAATCGTAAGTCTAACACTGATCTAGCCTATGCCACATCGGCCATAAGGCAGAAAACTGGAGATGCCCAGTGGGCACTTGAGGTGGGGTGCTGTCAGCATGCTTAGATCTGTCCACTACAGCAACAGCTGAAAGCAGAGGTACCTGAGGGGATGTGATGCAGGTGACCAAAGTATCTGCTGTTCTGGGCTTGAGCAAAGGTCTGTGGTCTCAACTGCTATGAAGGCTGCTGCCGGGACCCATCTGCCAGGCTCTGAGCAGGGCCCAGCCACCTTAGTCTGCCGTACTCCAGCATCCCTTGGCCTCAGTTTCCTCATCAGTATGAGGCCTACATGGGGTCATTTTTATACCTCCGCCAGCTCAAGAATAGGCATTATGTGCAGGGGTGACCTAGGGGTGCCGAATGTCTTTCCAGGCAACTCTCAAATCATGGCGGATGGGAGTGGTGGCTAACTTGGCTAGCCTCCTGTCCTCTGTAGGTAAATACTGAGGTGGGTTCTATAAGGTTCTTTAGAGGGTCTCAGTAGGACTGAGCTGTGGTTCCATGTTGCTGACTACTTTCATTGACTTTTCCCCCTTTCCTGCCTCACTTTCACTGTTCCCTCACTCCTGCTTTGTGAGATCATCTCCCAGATGAACCATCTGCCCCTAGTCCTTGCCTTAGGCTCTGCCTTCAGTGTAACCCGAAATGAATCACTCGTTTACTTGCTGGGTGATCGCATGCAAATTACTTATTTCTCGGAGCCAGTTTCCTCACTTATATATAAGCAGAATAATGAAAGCATCTGATAGTTACTCCCCTGTATGCTGGTCACTTGTGCTAAGTATTACGTTGCAATGTTACAGTTAATCCTTAGAGCTCCTGATTCTCCATTTCACAGATGAAAAAATCTGATGATCTGAAAGGTCAAGTTACACAGCTAGTGAAAGGTGATGCTTGGGTTTGAACCTAGGTGGTCTGACTGGTAGTCTGGTTGGAGCTCTTAACCAACAACGATGACGCCAACTTCACCACCCTGCTTTGAAGGTTTAATGCATTCAATGGGGGTAATGTGTGTAAAAGCACTTATGTAAACTGTAAAGTGCTATAAATGCTGACTGGAATTAACAATACCAACTTCAGCACTTTATTCAAAACACAGGGACTGTGTCTAGCCCCTGCTTTAGGTGCCTGGAGCTTAGTACAGCTGAATATATTTTTGCTGAGTGAGAGGATTCCATTCCAATCTCTAGGGAATGTGATGCTCTGCAGTTTTCAGGAATGTATTCCTCATAAGCTTTCAGCGTGTTTTCCAGGAACCATGATACCTCATTCTAAATAAAAGCAGCAACACCACACTCAGCCAAGTTAGAGGGCTGTCTTCCTCTGAGACCCATCACTGCTAAGTTCCCATGGCCTCAGGGTCAGGATGTGGCCCACATTCCAGTGGGGAGGGTGTGTGGGGCCCTACCTGGCCGCAGCTGCTCAAAGTCCATCAGCATCCTGTAGGCTGTGCAGGGATTGACACCCAGGGTGGCAGCACTCTGAAGAGGGATGTCCCTTGGAACTCCGATCAGCGCATCTTCACTGAACACAGCCTCGGTCCGCCAGGTTCCTGAGTCAGGGGAGGAGTCCAGAGTAGTGAGGGAGGAGCCCTGTCTACCCCCATCCCCATTTCACCCTCCTCAGGACTTCAAAAGTATACTTAGAGAAAAAGAATTATCTTGAAGTCTCCTTTAATACTTTTGAGTCTTTGTGACATCAGGTAAGGTCAGTTTTGTTATTGCCATTTTACAAATGTGGTAGATTGATGGAATGTCACTCAGCAGGTCTTGGGCAGTGCTAGACTCTAAGGGAGGGCAGGAAGCACATCATCAGGGCAGGAGAAGCTGAGGACGCCTCTCTTTTCCTAGTCAATCCCCATTCTTCTCATCTAGGGCAGGCTGACTCTGGATGGTTTTGTGGAAAAGAGCATGAGAGTAGGAGTCAAGAGGCCCAGATTTGAGACCTGGTTTTGCTACTTTGCTACATTGAGCAAATTCTTGATGACTCTCATATGTAAGGGACAATGGCAATAATAGCCTGACTGCCCTCATTCATGAGCAGTGTGGAAATCAATGACAAGGGAACTGAAAAAATCACATCAACATAAAGAAATAATCCCATATTCCAGAGCCACACAACAGAACCATAGAATGTCAGCACTGAGAAGACCCTCAGAACACAAACTCCTCATTCAACAGGGGAGAAAACTGAGGACGTGATTGGCCTGGAGCCATCTGGCTAATCTGGGCAGAGGTGGAGCTGGGCTACCTCTTGTCCATCTACAGATACTTATTCTGCACCTACTCTGAGCCAGACAATGTATCACCAAAGGGGGAAAAAAAATTTAGGTGTTGGGATTTAACAGGTGAACAACAACAGACACATTCCTTGCTAAAATGGAGTTTTTGTTCTAATGTGGTATATGAAAAGCAAACAGGCAAATAAAATACAGAGAAAGCCAGGCACTAATAGTGGAGAGAATTACTTAAGATGGGAGCCAAGAAAGGATTCTTGGAAGTGACATGAAGCTGAGAGTTAACAGAGATACTTACCACTTGAAAAGGAAACAAAGAACATTCTAGGCATAGGGAAAAGATTTTGAGGTAGGAAAGATACAAGAACAGAACTAGAATATACACTGGTGGGCAGAGTGATGGGCAGAGGGACCTGAGACGTGGCTGATGTGGCATGGGCTGCACTGGTGTTACTTAACTTTTTATAACCTTGACCCATAATAAGAATTCAATTTTACGTTGTAACCCTGTGTGCATGCATATGCAACAAATTTCAAATATTTACCCTTACAGTGTGTGATGTACTCTGCTATTTTTTATTCCATTCTGCTTGATTTAAAAAAAAAATAAAATAAAAGCTCCTTGCCACCCACTAGACTGACTTCACTGATGGGTCACAACCTGCAGTCTGAAAAACAGAGGCTCATGCAGGGTCTGGTATGGAGAATGGAGTTTATTTTGTGAATGAAAGCCTCTAATGGGTTTTTAGGGGAAGACTGAGATGATTGGAATTATGCTTTATGATCACTTTAATGTTGTGTGGAAAAGCCGTGGGGGTGGAGTGGGAGGCAGAGTGCAAGTGGAGAACCAATTAGGAGGCTTTTTCAGGGGTTGAGATGTAGCTGCTGGTGGCCTAGACCAAGACTTTGGCAGTGGGAATGAAGACAAGCAGATGGATCTGAGTTACATTTTGGGAGAGAATCAATAGGATTTGATGAGGATTGGGTGAGGGTTGACAGGTCCTCATTCATGCCAGCGGGAACCAGTATAAAGTGCAAGTGAAGAGGACAGATCCTGGCATCAGACAGATGCAGATTCAAGTCTTGGCTCCACCACTCACCCCTATGTTACCTTAGTGAAGTTGCTTGGTGCCTTGTTGGCTCAAATTGTCGGTGGTTATAGTGTCTCAGGGGCCTCGGCCTATGCTCCCAAAGCTCAAGAGTATCAATCGCTATCTAGCCACGGGGGTTCTAACAGTGCCATGTGATCCGCTATGGGAAGCAGGGGCAGCCTGGGTGATTGATTACTAATTGCCCTACAGGAGAGGAAAACCACATGGGCTGTAGGGACCAGGAGTTGGGGACGGGAGGCAGGAATAATATTAAAGGTGTTTTAATCTCACAGTAGGCCTGTGGCTGAGAAAAGAAGAGACTGAGAGGCTGAATGGGGGCCATTTGAACTGTTCCTCTTGGATCCAGAAGGTGCCGTGACATTCTCTGGGCTCCACCCAGCCTAATTTTCAAATAGTCCATGTCGTGTTCATAACCATCAGCCTCAGTCACCTGAGCTAACGCTGACTGTACTCTGTGCCAGACGTTTTGTATAGGGCTTTCTTCACACAAACTCAAGTGTGTTTTCTAGTTCCCCTTAATGGCATGGCCATGGAAATCCAGGCCTCACCATGGATTTCTGGATTTAGCAGTCCCTAATCCTCTTCCCAAAAGAGCCTGGTGGGATGAGGACAGTGCCCACAGTCAGCTCCAAGGGCTTCTAGGGTTTTAAAGTAGAAACCCGTAGACTGGAGTGGGTGAGACCTGCTTGAAAAACCCTGCTCTCACTCACTAGTGTGATCTCAAATTATCACCTCATCTTTTTTGAGTTTCAGTTTCCTGCTCTATAAAATGAAGACAATGATGCTTATGTCATATTACAAAGATAAAATGAAATGGCATTTGTAAAGAGATTATTACTGTGCCTGGCACGCAGTAGGTGTGTGATATTTTGGCTTCCTTTCCTGATCCTGGTCCCATGCTTTAGCTATGAGGACCCCATTCCTCATCAGGTGCAACTGACCCTGAATTATCTCCATTAGAGAATGCAGGGATGAGCAAACTACAGCCCACAGGCCAAATATGGGCTACCGCCTATTTTTGTAAATCACGTTTTACTGCAAGACAGCCATGTTCCCTTGTTTATGTATTATCTATGGCCTGCAAAGCCTAAGATATTTACTATATGGTCCTTAAAGAAATAAGTTTGCTGATCCATGATCTAATGCATACAGAAATCAACCTGAGTTTGCAAAGGATCTTTGCATGCATTCCCTCAGTTGCATTGCAAGAGAGTCTGCTGAGATATGCAAGGCAGCCACTAAGAGCATCATTTTAGAGATGAGGAACTGGAGGCTCAAAGCAGTTGTGACTTAAACAAGGTTACACAGAGGGACTGGAAGGAGAACCTGCATCTGATTCCCAAGCCAGTGTTTTTCCTACTGTCCTGTAGATGGTTTTGAGTGTTTCCCCAGGAGAAAGTCAGCTGGCAAATGTCTACCCACACCCTCTGGCACAGTCTTCCCTGAGACTGGTTGTATGTGGAAGAGCAATAGCTGGGTGGCTCAGTAACGTGAAAAACTACCAGGATCTGGCCATTGAGGACTTCTCTGTTTCATGACTGCCACTCTCACTAAACTGCAGTTTTCACGAGAAGGAAGACCCTTGTCTGTTCACTGATGTATGTATTCCAGAGCTCAGCACGTTCCAGATGCTCACAAGACGTTTACTGAATAAACAGAGTTAATTATAGTCCTAACAATTATGAAATCCCCATCCTCCCTGACTGGCACCAACTACCAAAGCCAAAGATGAGAAAACTGAAGATTTTTTTACCAACTTCTGCAGTCTGAAATTGACCAAACATGCAATCAAGATGTGTTGAATATAATGGGTGATTGGAATGCAAAAGTTGGAAACAAAGAAGAATCACCAATAGTTGGAAAAGAAGGCCTTAGTGACAGAAATGAAGTCGGGAGATTGTATGATCAAATTTTGCAAGACCAATGACTTATTCATTGCAAATACTTTTTTTCAACAACATAAACAGCAGGACTATACATGTGGACATTGCCAGATGGAAACACTGGAATCCGATCAACTAGATCTATGGAAAAAGGCGATGGAATAGCTTAATATCTTCAGACAAAGCAAAGCCAGGAGCTGAATGTGGAATAGACCATTAACTGCTCATATGCAAGTTCAACTTTAAGCTGAAGACAATAAAAACAAGTCCACAAGAGCCAAAATATGACCTTGATTATGTTCTACCTGAAGACCATCTAAAGAATAGATTTGATACATTGAACACCAATAACTGAAAACCAGATGAATTGAGGGATGACCTCAAGAACATCATCCATGAAGAAAGAACGTCATTAAAAAGACAGAAAAGGAAGAAAAGACCAAAATGGATGTCAGAAGAGACTCCAAAATTTGCACTTGAGCAGAGAGTAGCTAAAGCAAATGGAAGAAATGACAAGATAAAAGAGCTGAACAGAAGATTTCTAAGAGCAGCTTGAGCAGACAAAATTAATTATTATAGTGAAGTGTGCAAAGACCTGGAGTTAGAAAACTAAAAGGGAAGAATGCGCTTGGCATTTCTCAAGCTGAAAGAACTGAAGAAAAAATTCAAGCCTCAAGTTGCAATATTGAAAGATTCTATGAGCAATATATTGAATGATGCAGGAAACATCAAAAGAAGATGGAAGGGGAACAGTTGTTGTTAGTTGTTGTTAAGTGCCGTCGAGTCGTTTCCGACTCATAGCGACCCCATGCACAGCAGAACGAAACACTGCCCGATCCCGCGCCAGCCCCACAATCCATGCTATACTCGAGCCCATCATCGCAGCCACTGTATCAATCCATCTCCCTGAAGGCCTCCCCCTCTTTCGTCGACCCTCCAACCTACCAAGCATGACATCCTTCTCCAGGGAATGGTCCCTTCTTACAACATGACCAAAATAGGAGAGACGAAGTCTGGCCATTCTTGCTTCCAAGGAGCATTCTGGCTGCACTTCCTCCAGGACAGATCTGTTAGTTCTTTTAGCAGTCCACGGTACTTTCAGCATTCTTCGCCAGCACCACAACTCAAAAGCATCAACTCTTCTTCGGTCTTCCCTATTCATTGTCCAGCTCTCACATGCATACCAGGCGATTGGAAATATCATGGCTTGTGTCAGGTGCACCTTAGTCCTCAAGGAGATATCCTTGCTCCTCAGCACTTGAAACAGTTCCTTCGCAGTTGACTTCCCCAATGCTACACGTCGTCTAATGTCCTGACTGTT